CAAAGCTGAACAGGGCTGGTGTTGAGGGAGGGCTGAAAAAGTACGTGTTGCTGTGCTACTTATGACACTACCTACCCCTGCCAAATGAGTCTTGGTTTTAAAAAATACACATCACGATTTTAGCCCTTATTATTAAAAGGAGATACTTTAAGTAAATCCACAAAGTAGAATAACATTTGCCTGAACAGTTGCCGAACATCAGAGTACGCAGCCCTCCCCACACAGTCCCCCACTGAGCTTGCACAGCTGCTGAAAACAATGAGACTCTGTAATTTTTCAAATACATAGGCAGCTGAAATTATTAGTTCACTGCCTGTGAGACAGTCACATGCCTTGCAGCCAGCACAGGTTCTCCTTTCCCCACTGCGTTACTTCGCAGAACACCCCATCATCTGCGGTCTGACACACGTACACCCACCCCTGTTCCCTGGCAGATAAAGCCTCTGTGAACTACAAGACCCAGCAGGACAAGGGATTCAGCAGTTTGCCAGTAGCAAGGGGCTGAGCTTATTAAAACTTGGTTGCTTCTCATACTCCCCACGTACAAAACTGGAAGCACTCGAGGAGGGTTCTGCGCTCTCTAGGACTCATTTGTAAACCAAAAGCTTTTGCCTTTGACTCGCGTGAACACACTCTGCCACTCTTGTATAGTGGGGAGGGTGGAGGAAAGGAGAAGAAACCACTAACTTTCTCAGGACAGATCAGTCACAGGGGAGTTTAGGAACAGTGCTCTGAAGTACTACGAACTACGAAGAGAGAATGTCCCATGCAGGCAACATGTCACTTGAACATCATTTCTTCTCTCAACCTAGACCTCAAGGTACTAATTGCCTTCACCACTTGTGAAAGGAGCTGTGACTTGAAGACAGTTAAAGCAAGTAAGAGTTCAACGAATTTCTACAATGGAATCAAGATTTAGCATTTAGGTGTAATAATTCCACTTACATAGAATCACAGAATGTTACATGTTTGAATGCAAGTTAAAAAAAACCAACCTAGCTGTATCACATTAATTAATTTACTCAGAGTCACATGTCTTATGGGAAAAAAGAACAAGCTTACTGTTTCCTACTGTATAATTTTAAAGGGATACACTATATGGACACAAAGGAAGACTTTAAGTATATTTTCTTAACATCCTCTCAGTAAATTCCACAGCTTCCAATTTTTGATACATATGTGCAAGTAATAATGATCATTAGTTTATTTTCCAAAAAGCATTGTGCATATTAATGCATAAATTACTTTACAATGCATAATCTAATAAATAGTTCTAAGAGCTACACTGGAGAGCCTTTTATTATTGTGTTAATTTTAACATCTTATATTTGATTGCCAAAGGAGAGACAATACAACAGCTACACGAACAGGTATACATACCTCAAAAAAGCTCTCCACATACTGCAGTATGTACACTCCACAATCACTGAAGTTGTTCTGTTGCGGCACTTTTGGGTTGGAACCTTTCATGACTTCTTTAGAAAAGCTTCTTTTGTTGCCTTTTCTGACCTCCCATTCCACTTCTAAATATCTAGGATAAAAGACCACGCAAATTCAAACCTTTGTTTGCTTGCAGAATTTTGAAAACCAAGCAAAATAAACACAACAAACAAACAAAAAAACCCAGATAGAAAACTTACTCCCTTAGTGTCTTCACAACGTTTGACCGAGAAGGGCCTCTCAGTGAGTCCATAAGCAAAATGCAGGGCCTAAGAGAGAATACAATTTTTAAGTACACAATATTTTACAGCAGTTTGGAAAACACAGCTAGTTAGCTCTGAAATAATTTGTGGGGTGACCTTGAACGAAGCTAGATGAATACTATGAAGTGTTGCCAGTGCTGCTGTCATCCCCTAACCGGGGGATTTAGCTAAATGCAAAGTTATCTTTAGATTTACCTATGCACCGAGTACAGAGAACTGAAATGAACTTAGAAAACACAGTTCTGTCAGGCTGAAAGCATTTGTCACAGGCAAAATCTAGTTGCCTAAAACACCTTCGGGTGTCTAGTGCTCTTTTAGATGCACAGGTTTCTGGGACACTGGCAAGAGGCTAGAAGCCATAAACATCCTTCTGGAGTAGCAGCTGGAGAACAGAAGGGACAGTCCTAAGCACGTAAGAAGACAGGAGGTATGCACGTTCAAGAAGTGATCCCAGCCAATGAACCTACCTGACAGTTACAAAAGACACACGTACTCTATAGGATAAGATTTAAAAAAAATGTATCCACGAACCAACATTTTCTGCTTGAGCACCCTCCTGCACACTACAGATGTCTCCATCATAGAATCACAGAATTGCCCAGATTGGAAAAGGCCTTTAACATCACTGAGTCCAATCACTGACCTAACGCTGACAAGTTCTCAGCTAAACCATATCCGTAAGCCCTGTGTCTACCCGACTCTTAAACACCTCCAGGGATGAGGACTCCACCACTGCCCCGGGCAACCTGTTCCAATGCCTGATAACCCTTTCAGTGAAGAAATTCTTCTTAATATCTTGTCACTTGATCTAGAGGACACTACATTTGCAGTAGCCATAAACGTAACAATCATATCAGCTGCCTTATATATCCACCACCTGGATTTATATAAGAAAGCTACCTCATACCAGAGTTCAGAATCTCAGCGAGATGTATTTTAAAAAACAAATACAATGCAAATTGCTTTTGAAAAGGCTCTTTTCTAACAATAACACACACGCATTCAGACAAGGTGCCCTTACAGACACTGCCAATTAGTAAATTTAGACAAAGTATCTCCATGCATTTAAGAATAGGTTTGTTTGCATTTATAAATTATTTTACATGTATGTAATATTTTACGTATAAGCCTTTAATCACTTCAGTAATGTCTTATACTTGTTTTAATTTCTGATAGAAGAAAGTTACTATTTGTGTAGGCAATGCTCTTTAAAAATGCACAATCCAGTACTTGGGGGGGGTGGGGAGAAGGAAGAAGTAAAAGCCTTTTCAAGGTAATTTTCTTTTTCATGCTAAAGTAATTTAAAAATATACTAACAGTAAAGTATTGCAGTGCCCTTAATGACTTTTGATACTGAAGTGCCAACGCTCTTATGAAATTTCATGTTTGGATTAAAACAGTGTCTAGTGGAAAATACTATGTACAGAAAACAAATCATCAGGATGGGACAAATGTAGCCAAGCTATAATCAGAAGCTCATAAATATGCTTAAAACTCACAACACAAATCTTTTCCCCCTTCATGAAAATGTATTAAGAACAATTCACACACATTCCATATCATGTATAAATATATAATTTTATCCTGCATCATAAAAATGTATTGTAGAAGCCTTTTCCTTTCTAGCAACCTTTATATTCACAAAGAAGGAAATACAAAAATGGATAAATAAACTGTGAAAAAATACAAGCAAAACTACAGCAACACTAGTAACAATATTTTTAGGTTTTGAATTATGCATTTCTGTCACACCAAAATGCAAGCAACTGAAGTCAATAATTATTATGAAATCATTTCTGGGTTTCAAACATTAAAAAATAAATTTTAAGAATTTTAGACTAAAAACAGGTAAAAAAATTAAACAAAAAAATCCCCTAACTCAATTTAGTATTGTGGAACATTTTTGTTAGAGAAAAAGTATAACGCTAAGAATAGTGAGAAAAAAAGAATAATATCAAGAACAGAAAGAGACAGTAAAAGAAACAGCTAGAACACATTTAGATAAGAAACGTGGGCAGCTAAAATTATTTTCATTCTCCTGTATTAATTTGAGTGGTGACAAAAGTTGTCTTTTTTGGTATTACGTTAATTATCTTCATTGAAAGACTTTTCTTTTAATATAGAAGGATACAGTTAAACATGCTTCTGCACCTTTTTTTTTGGTAGGAATCTAAGCACAAGATATCAAAGAAGAGGCTTATTTGGAAAATCAATCTTCAACTGCCTGAAGCAGCACACAGGCTCAACAGAAACATAAAAACCTTATTTCCCTCACAGTTTCATTCATTAAATTTTCTGCTCACTGAAGATGGTGATAATACAAAGTATAAAATTCTCTCTCAAACACTAACGACATGCTGTGTTTGAAGACTGAGGTACAACCACTTGCTACAGTTACCTTCTTTTAAATTTCATAAACTCTTATGAAATTTCCATTGTAGCGGCTTTAATACTTACTGTTTGCAGATAGTAGGCTTCAGATACCATTGTCCCATTTCTGAATTACAGTTATCATCTACAAGGCCACCATCATCACTACTGTCTTCCTACAGAAGCAACATGTTTAGAGGCGTTTAATAACAAACAATGTTTTTCAAATGGTTGCAAAAAAATTACTGCTATACTTACCACTTTTATTCAAGACCACTAACATAAGTTAAATAAAGAAATGGTTACTTTAACCTGAAACCATTCATTGTTCACGAGTTTGCATTACTAACTTTTAGTCACATGGTTTCTCACACCCATGTTGGAATGACACGGAGTAAATGGTGCTACTTATTTAACAACTGCTGAAACCAGAAAAAAGCTGCTACTGACTTTTTCAAAGCACTGTTGGCTTAAAAGCGGTGCATCTCCATTATCTGGTTATAATTCAAATTATCAATATTTTTCCTTGCTAATTTTTAAATGAGCCTGCCAAGTAAGTTTCTAGTATGTTTTCATCTACATGAAACGAGCTAAAATCTGTAACGACCTCAGAAGTAAAATTTGATCTTTGCTCCAGAACATATCAACTTGGTTCTTGAGGCAAAGGAAATTAAACCACCACGACAGTATCTATCACAGGTTGCAAAAACAGTCACGCCCCAAACCTGGAAATGTCCTTCGACTTTCTGATTTCACTATTGATTCCTATGAAGAATATGGAAGTTTTATAATAAAACCTCTAAGTTCTTATATCTGAAAGTAACCCAATGGTTTCTTATCCTTGTACTCAGTTCACTATTACTACCACAGACCACTGTGCTTCAGGGACAGAGAGGCTTTCCAAAAATGGGAATCCCATTATCAGCATGATTTCAGAAATTTTTGGCGAGATTTATATACACGTCACTGACAGGCAGGATCCTGTAATTGAAATCTTCATGCTACACCATGAAGATGTTACCATATTAGAAACTACTGCCTAGTTCCCAACACGCTGGTTTATGCAGCAGCCTCAACTCCACTTTCGGCAGATGTGAGGGTGCACTCAGCCTGTCATGATCTACCATTTCTATAATTGCTTTGTACGCTCTAGAATGTATCAGTGACACTTTCTGCCTGAGTTAAATTCTAAGCTACACTGCAACGATGGAACTTGGCATCTTTTCCTCCTCTGAAGGAACACAGCTGGACACAGGCTTCAGCACGAAAATGCTCTACTACTAATTCTCCATGTTCAGGGAACTCTAACGGCATAAAAATAGACAGAAAGGCACCGCCATTAGGTGAGAATCGCAGAATGCTTGGGTAAGTGGCATAACTAGAGAGGTGGGTTCAGTCTGTATGAAAAGTGTAGCTAAGTTCCAACACAAACTGGAGCTCTTACATGTGTGCACACATATACATACTATTTGGAAGTCATTACAAATAGCTGCAGACTCTGGGAAAAAATTGTTTGTTCTGGACTCAAAGCTGAAAAATAGGTAATTCCTAGACTGTATATCTGATAGTCTCCAAGTCTTTATCTCGGACAAACTGAAGTCACACACCTGAAACATGAACAGGAAAGCCAATTAGGAAGAGTAAACTTGTAACTTGTAGCCTGCTCACACTGAACTTACACTGTAGAAGCAACAGGGTTATGGAATAATGCCCTCGTACCCATTAATGAGTCTATAAAGGACATTTCAATGATTAGTCTTTCCGCAGCTCTAAAATCTGAACATCTTCCAATTTGAACAAGAAAAATACTCGATTATAAATCCACGTTGTTTAAATTTGATTAGGGGAAGCACCAATGAAACAGAATGGCAGAGTTGCACCTACTTATAAATGTGTTTGTTTATGTCCAGGAAATGCAGCTGGAAGAAGAGTAACTTGTTCTTGAGTCTGGTAGATAAACATGGTGGGGAGGGAGATGAAAGACAGAAATGTGTTGACTTCCAGATTCCACTAAAACCATCGTGTAATATTGCCACTATGCAAAAGACTCACAAGATTAAAGGCAGAATCATTTACAGCAGTTTCCCATACAACAGTTTGATGAACAAATGTACAATCCTCTCGTCAGCTAATTTGCAAATTTTTGTAGTTGACCAGTGCTTTGGATTTGACACTTGTGAAGATAACCAGCTTTAGACAACGTACATTTACAACATGTATACAGCTTTTAAGTGTGTTGTATGGGTATACAACACACTAGTTCCTATTTCCCCAAATAAAATTTCTAAATTTCTAAATTCCTTACCTGGTTATCTTGGTCTTCTGAAAAATCTATAAGCTCATCTTCATTTAGTTTACTGCCATCAGCTGAGTCTTCGCTATAGTTTAGCCTGATTTTGTGCAATCCATCTGTATCAATCACACATAGTAGTATATTTAAACATAAAATAGTTTTTGAAGATCAAACTAACTTTAAATACCTCAGATTTGCTCAGGATTACTTAGAATAACTGACACAGCTGCCACATGACACTGTGCAGTTTATATAAAGATCTGCGTTGGTAAAACGGAAAAGGCAGCTTGGGAGCACACTGCTGGGGAGGGTAGAATGCGGGATCAGCTCTCCTGAGAGCAGCAGTTTGGAAATGTTTATGAAGCTTCACTGTTTGCTATATAAAAAGAGTATCTGTAAATTCACTTCCTACCCTCTTCTGCATATTTAGTCATTTGGGAAACAGCATCAGAAGAAATACAGAATCATGAACGTTATAGCTATACTCATGAAAGAAGCAGATACAGATGGCTACAGGCTCATGAGTCTTACTTTACCAACGTGTAAGACTTGAGAACTTGAGGGGAAAAAATAATAAACTACGTGGGAATAAGTGAAAAATGATCAACTGATGCCAGCAAAATCTGGAATCTTTATAAGCAAACTTTTCCTAGGAGGCAGCTCTACAATACATCTAAACAAACACAAAAATGTAACAGTTGTTTATGGTGTCACTGGAGGACGTATTACTTACTAAAGAAAACTGGGATTTCTACAAGAACAGTAAATAGGGCGATGAACTAGCTAATGGGAAAAAAAAAAAAAAAAAGAGACGACCTGCATTTGAGAGCACTTCAACAGAGCAGTTGAAGTAACACTTTGGAAAGAGGTTACTAGTGGAGTTCCACAGGGACCAACTTGGGAAGTAGTCCTACTCAGTATCTTTGAAAAGACCTTAACACAAGAACTAGGACATATACTAACGTGACTTATTGCTGACAGATTCCTGAAAAATAAAAAACATATTTTAGATTATTTCTTCAAAGTTATCTAAGTACCAACTCCTACCCCCGATTTACAAGTCCAACACCAGAATTTAGTTTGAGATCAAGACATCTAAGTTTAGGTTTCCACATATAGTGGGCATCTAGGGTCTCATGATGTTAAGTGGAGACCATAATCAGAGCAGAGCTACTCAAGTGAACATTTATTCTGTGTTACTTTAGGACGAGAAGAGGCTTCATTGACTTCATCGACTACACTATCAAAGAGGCACCTACTGCCCTTTGAGATATCCTAGGAAATCCAGGACATACGTATGGTTTTGAAGTGTCCAGAGTGAAATCCCACATCTGGAGCAATAGCTGAAAGCTAGGCAGAAAACCCAAGGCCTACATCCCCATCTTCCATCTGACTGAAACAGAAGTTTAGATACACCATGCATCTCAACAGCTGTCTAAACATATGCTTAGTGTCAATTCCAATTTGAATTTCACCCTTAAACCAGGGCTGTGACCTCTAAGGATGTCAGTCCTAATGAAAGGGTGCATCACCTGCAATAGCTGAGCAAGAGAGTCTGAGTGTTTTAGTCAGCAACAGAATATCATCAGCCACTCGTACAATGCAGCCATAAAAAAAAGTAATCCTAGCAAAAATGCCATAATCCTAGCAAAAATATGTCATAAAGTACTTTCCAACTAACTGCAGCATCCAAGACACGAGACCTTATCATAGAGGTAATCATAACCAGTAACAATCACACACAAAACAAAAAAATCAGCTCAAATGAGCAGATCTCCACACACCCTCAACTCCCCAAGACCTTCTAATCGTGACAATGCTACCACAAATTAATAAATTTAGATTAGAAAGTAGATGAGTGTTTATAGCCACAAAGATATTAAAGCTGCAATAGTCTGCAGTATACAGATTAGAGCACATGACTGATAATCTTTTCAGAACTTGTACTATAAGCAATTACTACAATGCAATTATTTACTGTGTAAATTAAATCAGTAGCAATGGTTTTGGTGACTGAAGTAAAAGATTTGCGTAACCATAGGTTTTGTACCCTATACCTTGAAGGGTTCCAAATCTTGCACTGAGCAGAGAAAACTTTCTCCTAACTCCTTCATCTGCCTATAAAAGTATGTCAGCAACTTTGTTCACTTTGGTACAAACACTGTTCCAGATCACTGAAATCAGCCTCCACAGCAGTAATGCATGGAGAAAACCTCTCTAAATATAACACAGAGCTCATATGGGAGAATTTTTTTTTAAAATTATTTTCTTCTTACTCTTTTTACATACCTTCTATTAGGACATTAAAGAACAGTCTTGAAGCAAAACCTCAACTGCTAGTTAAGGTTGCTCACATAATCTTAATTCAGTTCCCCCATACACATACATTGTGAGGTTCCAAGACAAACTATTATTCTTTCCTTAACAATTACAGTCTTAAGTGACTCAAAGCAATATCTACAATTATCTTGCGTGAAAAATGTCACATAACTGAAAAATTAATCTGATTAAGGAAGCCAGTGCTGTATCTCCAGTCCTTTTCCATGAATTACATCAACAGCCACAGAAATATTTTATATCCGTATACAGCTATAAATTACTCAGATTGCAAGCACTCCAACTTCAGCCACATAATCAACTTTCAAAGTACGAAGCTTAAACAATTGCAAAAGTAGCAATAGATGCGAAATTATATGCATATATTTTATACCTATATTATACGTATAATTTTTTTCAGTTATATGTGCACATTTTTACAATTACATACCCATAGATTGGCTAGCAGTTGTGAATTCACCCTGTATACCATTTTCGTCGAGAGTCCTATGGTCTAGTTTATGGCATGCCGATTCCACAGTGTTAGGTTCTTCCACATCACTGTCTATTTGATTTAGTTTTTTGAAAGTACTTTTTCCCCTAGAAGGGCTTCTTCTACATGAAGGCTCACTGTCCTCTGTTTCAGTATTTGGGTCAATTAAAGCTGTATTATACTTTTTGGTCAATGTCTTCTTTGCTGTGGATTTGGAAGGCGAGTTTTGTGCATCTAACTCATTTGGCAAAGGAGATGGTGTGTTGCTCTCTCCATCTGAAGAGGAAGATTTTATCTGTACTGCAGCATTTTCATGATAGTGGGGATTTGGTTCATATTTGGGTTTTTCTAAACCAGGAAAACAGATGACAGCCAAAAACCAGTGGGCACTGCAAAGGCAAAAAAAATACATTAAAACCCAACAACTACATTAATGCTTTTTTAACATTATCTTTGCATGAATTGGAGATCATAAAGTTCACGTTTTATGGCTGTAATAAACTTTTCTAGTCATTCAGCACTGGGCACACAAGCAGCGAGATCTAATGGTATAGGTGAATTGCCTGTATTCTTCCGCCTATGAGTTCTTCCAACTGTATGTGACACTTAAAACTTTTGGAGAAAAGGAGAGACAAGAGTGCTTGTAATGCCATCATCACAACACTGCTGTCTTCCTCACCCTTCACAGAGCTGACATTCTAACCCTTTCAGGATCAAAAATAGTTATGTCCCTCAACATAAAATAAAACAGGAGGCAAGTTTTGTTCCAGTTTCCTCCTTATCTCCTTTCCTCTTTGGACTTCACTGACTTGTCATTCAATCAGAAATAGAGCAGCAGCAAATTCAGGGATCGAGGCATCGCAAGTAAGTATCAACTGACTCGATTCAGAAATTTTCTGCAGGAAACAACAAACCAGAATCTAGCTATGTATTATGCAAGTGAAGCCACATTTCACTGTCTTTTAGAAAAAAGAAAAAAGCATGTCTAACTGACATATTAATAAACCAATTAGATGATTATGAAGCCTAATTCCATCAAAACTCAATGGCAGTTACAGTAAGTGGCGTCTGAAAGCAGCACGTGAATTATGGAGGCATTTTGTCTTGAATGATTCACCACACCTAGTAAATGAACACATTAAGTATTGTCAATCCCCTGAATTCGTGTGCACTCTGTTAACATAGGCTTTATGTAGCAATTATGTAAATAGCAAATTAACCTGGATCTAAAGAGAAAATAGCTTGTAACTCTTAAAAGAACAATCTATTTCCACTGGAGACTTGAACAAAAAAGACTGTACTGCCAAAGGATACTGACACAGTCCTGCTTAAGTCAGCCATAGCATTCTGAAGTTTATCCTCCCCCCTTGTCAACCGCCAGTTACTGCAGTTTGATAACTTGCTACACAATGAGCCCACATGCCCTGAACTAGTGGTTATGGGAGAGTCTGGAAATGCTTTCTGGAAGTAGACACTGAAGTCCAGCAACTCCAAAGCATTAATTTCTAGACTGTACTCTTAAACCAGATGCCAGCATAGCTAGCTGTGCCCTAGAAGAAGAAAAGTACATAATTCCAGGCAGCACAGGAGAAGCGGTATCAGGAGCAACCATTAGCAGCATTCCTATAATGCAAGACAAGCTCTCAAGTGTTCTCAAATCCTAGAATAACTTGCTTCACACACTACTTAATTCAGGACACAAAGTAGCAAAAAACTCTGACATTGGTTCTCAATCAGTCTAACTTTGCCACAGATTAAGGTTTGAGACCTTTTATAAGTAGTAATGAATACAGATCTCTTTACAAGGACGAGTAACCAGCATCAAACCAGGTGGCAAAACCCTGAAAAGTACCTGCGGCACTGCAATGCATCAAGTTGCAAACACTGGGAGAGTCTAGACAACTCGAGGCTGTGCGTAAGTTCTATGATCATACTCTATGAAGACAAGGAATAAACTGACAGAAATGGGTGACAAAAGCCTTACCACATTATATTGAGTTGCACATACAGAGTCCAGGCAAAGGCATGTTGAAAAAAATTCTGAAAACCACGTTCCCCAAAACCCACGCAGAATGGAACATTCAGGCACCAACTGGCTTTCCCTCTTCACCACTGACTCTCTGTGCCCCTAGCGTTTTCACTAATCTCTTGGAAAAAACCCCACAACTCTAGACAGCTAGCCATAAAGTAATTACCATAAAGTAGTTACCCATAAAGTAGCAGTGAGCACACAGCATCTAAACAACTCCATTCTTGTCAACACAAAGCGTGACAGTCCTCACTTTGCAAGCAAGGAACAGGAGCATGGGGGAAACTTTGGGAAATTACGTAACACAAAAGTCATCACACAAGCAAGTTTCTGAAAAAGCTGCAACTTAGTACACATGTTAGGTCCCAGCCTTTCACTGTAAGACTTGCATATCCAAAAGACTCACTGCAGATTAAGAGGTCATCTGATACAAATCAAGACCACAAATGTAAAATACTGATGTATTTGGCATAAAAGCACTGTTTCACAGTGCTGTTAACAAACTCCAGGGACTATATATTTCACAATACATTATACACACAGCTACTGCTAACTGAGGCTATAACTTAAACAAATAGGATCTATACTGTATTTGTTAACCAGATCAGAAATCCTTCAGGTTAGTATTTTTCCATTAAAAACCAAAACTTAGCACTGATACTTATTGCCTCTTTCGTCTGTGGTATGTTTAGTTCTATAAATAAAACTTTTTGATTCTGTATCAGAGAAGCTAAAAAGTGCTTGAAGTGGTACTGTAGTCAAGTTAATGAAAATAAAACAGGATTTACATGTGAATTCAACATAAAGATACTTGAAACATACTAACCAGCAAAACCTCAAAACATTTTTTGACTCAAAAAAGTTGACTCCAGCTCTCTGCTCTTGACCCATTTTGAAACACAAAAATGTATGGAAAAGAGCAATCAAACATATATAGTAACCTGGTAAAACCTGCTGTTCTGTGTCACGGCAATATAAGGAAGGAAAAGACACTTGGCAAGCGACAGCTCTGCCACCAGGATGGAGGCCTACAAGCATTCATACTTGCCAGTTTTGGTGTTCTTCCTGTGCCCTGGTTTGAGCGAGAACCAATTTTGTTCAGTTATTTTTACTTTTCAGATCAGTCTCTTCTAAGAGGCTGCACTTTCTGAAGTTAGCAGCATATTTTTGCAGACAGTGTCCACTACTAGAAGTGATAATGCATGATGTTTACAGCTACAGCCTATGCTTGTTTCCTATAGTGACCAAGGTCACTGCAGATCTTGTGTGCCACACAGGGGGTGCCACGAAGCAAAAAGGGTCTCGTGGAATTAAAAGGTCGCACCTCTGGTGAATAACAGACAGGACAGGTGACCAACAAGAGTGTTCTGCTACATATATGTCATATTTTGCATAGAACTGAGGGATCAAGGGGGTTAAGCTCTCTTCTTCAATGGTCGGCAGCCGAGGAGGACTCTCTCTGCCTTTGATCCCGATGCTGTATTCCCAAATCCAGCTCCGGTGTTTGCTTCCCCACTGCCGCTGAGCCCAGGCTTGCCCAGGTGCTGCCTGCTCTGCAGCATCAGTGAGGAGTGCTGTCAGGGGGAGTCAGGTTCAATATCGGATTTGTATCTATCTGCATATAGTTCATTTTTTCAATGGTTTCCTTATTAGTAATATTATTGTTTTACTAAAGCTCTCAGTTTTCTTTTCCAATCCGTAAATCCCTCTGCATTATTCTGTTTCCCTTCCTGTTTTGGAAAGGGAGAGGGGGTTCAGCGGCTGGCCTAGCCCTCATTCTTTCCTAAATATGCTAGCATCTCCCACAAACGGTCAGCTTTTTGTTGCTCAAAACTGAAAGCTGGGTTTTGAGGAATGGGGGAAGTGATATATGTTTGAGGGGAGACAGAACAGCCATGTGCATCCTAGAAAAATAATAGCATCTAGTAAGTATTTTTTTTTTAAAAAAAAGAAATATGGAATATTTAATTCACGCCTTCTTTGCCAGAAAGCAGGTCAAAACCAACAATTAGAAACCAAACTCACCTTCTCCACCAAAACACCACTTTCTCATCTCCCTGAACATTTTTTCTTCTCTGTAACGTTCTTAGTGTACATATCAGGATGGCCTACAATCACCACTTACCATGTTTGAGTCCACAGTGAAGAACAGTTCCATAAAGCGTAAACAGAATAGTTTTCAGATGAAAGAGGCAAATCAAGAGTAAACTTTTCATGCTCTGATCACTACCGGATAAGTCCATGTCACAAAATTAGTTCAGAGCAAAATCCCCATACATGCTGTGAACATCCTGACTTTTGTTCTGCACATTTCCTCTTACTACGCTGCACTTACTTGCTAAGGTAGAAATTGCTTTAGTTGCTTCGACATAACTGAACAAGACAGTGAAAACCAGTATGTGCTAAGTTACTAGCAATACAATTGTCACAGAGCCACAGAACTATTTATTTTCATTTTCAGGTGACTTCTAAGTCCATGCTGCAATACCAGACAGTGTACCAGTCTCATTTCTCCTACGCATAAACAACGCTGACGTGTGACTGACACAAGAGAAGATGGTGGGAAGTATACAATGAACTCCGAGGCAACTAAAACGTAAGTGATATACGCTTCAAAATTCTAGTACTTGAAGTTTCGGAGGAGAGGGATGCCAAGCATGAAGTCTCCAGGGGACAGAAGGAATACCTTACATGTGTCATTTTGAACACCTACGTGCTGTTTCTTTTTCCACAGCCGTACAGAGTGGTAAGGTCTCAAATTCTAAAGTAACTGCTTGTGAATAGCTTTCTCAGGGACTTACTTATGACTTTGTAACAAGGACAGATCTATGTTCAGTTACCTCTTAACTGTTTCTCTACAGCTAGCCTTAGAACTCAGCTGGAGAGGAAGTGGGAAAAGAGAAGATTCACAAATTCACCTCCCACTGCAGAATGACACGGTATCTAGATTAACTTCTTTGAAGAGCTTTTAACCAAATAAACTGTTCTTTGAATTTTTTAAAAATCAGTTAGGTATGCCTTAATCAGTCAGTTGCAATTCTCTCGTCTCTGTCTTTATTTATGCTTCTTTTATAGATTTTTAAAATGCAGTTTAATTTTCCCAAATACTTTTGCTTAAGGAGTGCTTAGATTCTTTTTGTGAAATGTAGAAATGTGTTTCTGACAATTTGCTCTGATCTTAAAGAAAGCAAACATCATTAAGAGTCCTTGATAACCATTAGAATGGGAACAGTCTGCTTCCTGACCCAAAAAAAATGCCAGGACTAAAGGATATAAAGAAAAAGAACAAAGTTCCCAATACAGCGTAGGAGAGATTTTCAACCGTATTTGCTTCTGATACCGGTTTATTGTAACTAAAGGATGATCTCATTAGAAGAAAAAGCAAAGAGTAAAAAAAAGTAAATTCAAAAGTCATTGACAAGAGCTGAAAGAACTGCAGAGAACTAGGTAAAACTTAGAAAAATAGTCATAAAAGTTCATTTTTGCCCAGTTTTTATATTGTCCAACATTTGTTACACTACAACAGTGCACTTAAAGATCTTACATGGCTCTTTTGGTTTTATCACTTGGAAAAAGATGTTTATTCTCTTAATTTTAAACATCAATATAACTTTCAATTTTAGAATTATGAAGCCTAAGCCTTTACCATGCAAATGTAATAAAAAGGTGCATTCACTTACGCTTCATTAAGGGGAACAAAAATGAAATCTTTCTCGAAAATGTCAACATGTCGCGTCCATGTTTTCACTCGCCCGTGTCGTCTTTGTTGTATTCTGCAAGGAGAAACCAACATGTGACTTTAATTGAAAGACTACTTTTCCAAGTACTTTCACCTTAACAGTGTCTCAAGATTTTTCAAGGTGTATTCTATGTTTGTTAAAAGTCTGGATGCTTCCTAGAGGTCTGTGGTATCATAATACTGTCTGCAAAGACTTGATCCCTGTAAAGTATCGATGCTTGCCGTCTTCAGTGCACTTAGCTCTTAGTAAAACTGACTTATCAGCAGACTTACGAAAGGTTTGAAGTTTCATGAATACTTCTTCTTTCTCTTTGATTAAGGCGTTTATAGAAGAACGAACTGAACACATGTATTCTATCAGCATCTTCTTTTTTCAGTTTTTCAAGGACCAAATACCTAATTAGTTAAAAAAAAACCATGAAAAATTCATGAAAGTGTTAACTTATCACCAGAGTAAAAAGGAGTGCTGACAGTGCTACCTCCCCATCAAATCGTTGCAGGCTCTCACAAAATAGCTGCAAGAATATCAGAGCTAACTAACCACAGCGACTCATTCAGGCAATACCTGTGTCAATATTTCAAGGTATTACATACTCTGCTCAATGAACGACTTGTTCTGTTGCTACTGTATTTATTTTTATACCACAGGAGAAAAACAAACACACAACCCGCCCAGGAACGACCCGTATTTTATAACTGAGCTGCTACATCTCCAAACAATCCCAGAGTGATGCACTAATTTCCTCTTCATCTCTAAAATACTAATAGACTGAAAATTATACACGTGCATCTTACATGCAGCATACACTAAGCAACAGGTAACAACTTAACCTGTAGCATCAGTTTTACAAAAAATTAATTTATGTATTACATTAATGAAAAATTCAATTTCAGGGAACACAAAACCTGGAAAAAAACAAACGCAAAAAAGTATTTTTATTTTTTCCCTTGTAGTTACAATTCCTCTTTAGACGCTAAGAAATTTTGAAAAACCTTTTCTTTCCAAGTGAGAACAATGTCATTGTCAAGCAGGATAGGAGAGGAACTACAATTTCTTGCAAAAATACAAAACAACTTTTAAAGTTAAAGCTACGTATTGTTGGAGACCAAGCGTTAGCAACTGACCTATGAATTTTTAATGTTAGAACTTTTCAAGTTTCAGAGTAAAAGATTACTATAAACTGATGTGAAATGAAACTTACTTTAAATAAAAATCAATAATAACATCATTTAAAAATTCTCCTTCATTTAGACAATGGAGGTCTTCGTTGGTTACAGAAATACCACCTTTAGCTGGAGGAGGTGGATAAACTATCAACCTGAAAAGAAAAATACATTCAACAATAAATATGAAATGTCAAAAAAACTCAGAAAATTGTTACAAGGCAAAGAGAAATATCTTACTTTTCTATAGGACCAATAAATACTGTATGTGGTTCTCCTATTTCTTCATCATCCTCAAAATATGGTAACTGTTTAGGTCGCTGCTGCATTTTGGACTCAGAAGTAACCTTAGAAGAATAAAGTCAGTATTAATTCAGATTCTGCACTCAAACTGGCCAAAAAAAACCCGTAGTAAAGCTTTGTGAAGTGCAGCAATGTAATATCCACTGCTTTTAAGAAGGATTTCAGGGGTTTTTTTCTGCCTTTCCTAGTTCACTTTTACACTTCCTAGTTCCTATTACACTTCCATCTGTACTCATTTCTTGCAGAGCCACAAAACTTTCAGTTCTTTACGAGGTAGTTTTGTTCAAAGAAAGCATTAATTAAATTTAACTAAAACACTACAACTTAATTTCTGGCTTGAAAAATATTAATTTTACCAGTAGATCAATTCAGATGTTGTCTAATTATAATACAGATTTATTGTCCCTTAATCATGTTGAAATTACAGCATTACTTGTGGACCACTGCACAACTTTACAATCAAACTAAACACCCTAGGGAGTGCTGTGAATGCACAGACTAGTTCCCGTATTCTCCTAACTTGCCATGGACAAGTCTGGGAATTCTTAGAGAAAAGCCAGTAGAAGTTGTTGGGATTTTTATTTTTTTTGGTCTAGTGACTAGCACACTATCTCCAGTGTGTTTGTAACATAGATAATTTAAGGACTTTATACTAAACTGAAAACATAATTACGTTTTTTATTTTGTTTTCTCTGTGTGATGGACTTCCTTTGGAGTTGTCTTCCAAGCACTTAGTAAAGGCAACAAGCCTGCCATTGGCTTCTTCAAAAGAAATTTTCACAAAGAAGTCAGAAATATTATTTCTAATACCAATTTCAGTAATTATTTTTTCAAATATTGAGTTTGCGTGAGGATCAAGCCCAGTTTCAAAAATTAAAATTATGTACTGTTCTTCTTGACCTACAAAGAAGTAGAGAGAAAATTATTCATTTAGGTACAAAATAAAATGTTGCAATTATAAACAGATTTGAAAGAACATTGTTGGCGACACACACAAGCTGTAACATGCGTAAGCAGACAGACTGAAGGACTAACTACCAAATCCTTCTACCTACATTTGCAAAACAAGTGCATTCAACTTCTGCCTCAATTTAGAAACTTTATTACACACAATAAGTTTTTTTACACTCAATGTAAAAATACTCAATGCAAAGCCAAAACATATTTTGAAATAATAGCTTCTCTGCTTACTGACAATAAGACTCTGCAATCAATACTTTCTCTTCTTCTTCTTACAGCTCTATCCTATTGTTTCAACACAATTCCAGAAATTATGTATTCAGCATCACTTCCTCTCTACATAGAGAAGCACCACACCCTAATTTCTCCCAGGTCACTGCTGAGAAGTCTAGAGCAGCTCTCTCACAAATCAATACATACGTTCACCTGTGGAAATTTATTAGAAATGGAGAATTGTATTAAGAATGTAGATGGGCTTTTGTGGTCTCAATATTTATCCTAAAAAAGGCTTTCACCTACTTAGTCCCTTCAACATCTACGCAGTAATTTATTTTAGAAGGTATCAACCTGGTTTTCTACATTTGAATACATGGGATTGCAAAAGGAGAGGAGTGGGAAAAGAAAAAAGAAGAGAAACTAAGATAATATATACTACATTAAAAGAAAAACAGTATACAAGACCCTGTGATTCAGGTAGGTTCACCTGTCTGTCATGACCCAGGAAGGCTAACACTACAAAACATCATTGCTTTCTGAAAATCTCACGCATTCAAGTTACTACAGTAGGTAAGCCCAGAAATCCCCAGGCTTTTAGCTAAAAAAGTCCACAATAATCACTTTTACATGAATATACAGAACTAACATCTACAAGTCAGCTCTTCTAGACAACAGATATTCTCAGAAACACTGACAGGTTGAAAAAAGTACCACTGGGATAGCTAGCAAGTAGACACAAAACTTAAACCACTGTTTAGAATCTGATAGGAAAGAAAAGAAATACATTCTTGAGACAAATGTTTCCAGACTCAAATGGGAAAATAAGCACCATGCTTTTTTTAAAAGCGGATACAAACTGTGAATCACGTATTAGAAGCATAAAGTTCTAACAAAACTACTTTTACTGATTCTAGGCACGTGTTGCTGGGTACATAGGTACAAAATCCTGTAACGGCAATTTCACAAAAGAAACATTTCTCCCTGATCAGATTGCTGTTACCATGGAAATAGAAATCTCTTAAAGGATCTCCAATGCACTGGCAACCAGGTTGGATTTGTAAAAAGTATGCATTTGAACGAGAAAAGGAATTTAAAACGTCAAGAGTAATAAAAATCTTCATCTCCTTACACAGGTGAAGGGATCTCACCACCTAAACGACCAAAGCTCTGCTTTCAGGTCCTGCAGCATAAGCAAAACAAAGCCTCTCTGCCCTCAATGAACATTCTGCAAACAGAATGGTGTCAGGCATGTTCTAACGCTTACTCTTATTAGCCCTAATAAATCCTGTCTTTCTTTCAGTACAGAGGCTTAGCTTCGACAGGTCAGCCTAAACCTTTACCAAAAGCTGGGAATGTGAGTCAGATCAATCAGCTATTGTATAAATAACATCCACTCACATTATGTGAAAAATAAAAAAGTTGTAACTTGCACTAACAGGAATTATTTGGGTAGACAGGAATTATTTGGTAGGAATAGGATTCAGGCTGCAAATCCCAGTTTTATGTAGGTGGCTAATTCAGAGCTGCACAGACCTGTTCTTCTGTAAAAGACAAGTTTCACAGACACATAACCATTTTTTTTTGGTCATCCATAACTTGACATGCAAACTGCTGCAAAAAATAATTCTTCAGTAGCAAATTTCCCAATTCCCTGCAAGTAGAATGTAGGTGTCTAACTGCATTTTGGGTGTTCCTATTTGCAAATTAGGCATCTATATAGAACTGCTTACACAGCTAAGGATTCAGGCTTAAAGTAATCTCATTGCTCACAAAGCAAATAGCAACTGCGTTAACACAAAGTGTTCATTAAGTACCAAGTACAATAAAGCAGTTGGGTGCCACAGCCTCAGAGAGAAAAGCTGAGGAGGAAAAAGGCTGAGAGACATGGAAAGGAAAGGATTTTACACAGAGAACTCAGGAAGATTTTCATTTTTTCACTTGTCACCACCTGTGTTCACCTGGGGTTTAATGCCTGCTCCCAGGATTGTGCCTAGCTCCCTTGCACACCCTCCAATTCCCTTTGTAATTATATTAGAGCTCACAGTTTTTATTGCAGGTGGATGAGGTTACTACAACAATATTACACATTGGAAGCATGCAGTTCTGAGATTGTTGAAAGCTTTCTTCTTCTGTCTGAATGCAACATGTATTCATTTGAATGCATCATGTATCTAGGAAGCTGAATACAAGTATAAACGACCATAAAATTTAACCAAAAGAAAGGTCTATTGAAGGGGAAGAGGACTCTATCCTAATTAAAAAAATAAGTATGCATATTAAGATGCTAGACCCTTAAAAGAAAACTATGTTGAAATTAACTTTAAGATACAAGAAGAAAATCCATTTATGTTCCAAGCAGGTATTTGTCTACACCACAACTTCACTACAAGCACATGGTGGAAAAAAACTAAGTCAAGGCATGCAACAGTTTCTACTGAAAGTATGGCCTGTGAGCAGAACAGCACAGAAAGCAGAAGTGTACCAAAAGCTGTCACATAAATGCAAAGGCTCCAGCACAAAAGCTAAAGAAACCAACTTGTCCTCAGTCAGTACAAATACTAGAAAAGAGAGTTACACTCAGCTGACTAAATGTTATAACAAACACATCCCTGGAGAAGCAGAGGCCTACGCTTTTGCCAACTGTTCTGGACATTCTCGTCGTCAGCCTGGGAAGGTGACAGTGTCTGGAAAAACACTGCACCTGCCTGAGTCAATGGTGTCAGCTTCAGTCTGCAGCGCACTCAGTCATGAACCAAATCATCAAAGAAGAATTTAAAGTGAATAGTAGACAAAAATTATTTTACTTACTGTCTCCTTTACATTCGTACCAGACATTATCTTTACTCATTTTCAGTTGGTCTCTCAGGCTACTACAGGTTGACGGTACTGTTTGTAGGAAAACTACTGGCAATTTTCGGACGCTACACCATTCACATTTGGTAAGTTCTGAGGTTTTCAGGTTAATCTCTCGAATATCACTTTCTGATTCTAGGAGAAAATAACAACATTATATTCAATTACAGCAAAAATATGCTTCCTTTACAATTGTCCCCTCGAGTTTAACAAGTATGGGCTCATTAACTTCCTTAGAAGTTTTTAAAAGTTTGAAACTAACATATACCCAAGGAAGTGACGTCTGTTAATGTCTTAGAAGATCAACTCAACTCCACTGTCACCCGTCAGGAAAGTAATCAGAAACAAATTGTTTTCTTCTCACCAACTTGAATCTAGTTTTTATTCCACAGAAAAGAACACCATTTCCAGTGATTTAAATCTGCAACCATTGCTATGACACATTACAATAGGTTTGTAGAACTTACTTCATAGATTTATCTTTGACCAAGTTTTTTTTATGAAAAATCACTTAATGTGAAGAGAATAAACACACACAGAGAAATGACCTGACTGCCCAAGGAAAATAAGTTACTGCTCTTGATTCATTACCAAAGAGAAATGTCAGCAAAATACTCAATTTTTAACATTTCATCTGATGTTGTCAATGCTAATGTTGAGTATTTTACATGTTTTACTGAACTGTAAAAAAGCAAAGAAAAATCTGTGAAGTCAAAGTTTTTCAAATGTGGTGAAAAGACCCTGAAGTTCAATGCCAGTAAGTATTTCTAGATCAGAAAAATGATTAATGCTAGTTACTTAGAGCTTTAGCTAGTGGCAAGTTCCATCACGAAAACTCTATCGTCTTATGTAGGGAACAAAATCTAGCACAGGATAGAAGGAGAAAAGGAGCCAACATGAAGTCCTCCTAATAAGCAAAAACCAATGAAGTAAGTCTGTTTTCCTTTCCATGTAAAAGGGAGGAGGCACTGCAGGGAATTTCTGAAAAGACTAAGGCTTTTCTTAAGTTAAATTCTAGCAAACATTTCATGACCAGACAGATTGCAAGTAAAAATCAATAAATGGTTAGAATCATAGAATCTATGATTCTAGTGAAATGATTACCACCTAAAGAGTTTAATTTGTAGAACACTGAATATAACTGCAGAAAACTATATGATGAATTAAAAAAAAAGACATAAAAGACATACCATTACTTTCTACTTTAGTGGTTCTTATTATTAGTGGAAGAAGAGCTTCCCTTCCCCCACTATCCTCCTCTTTAGCAATGTCCTGTGGCCACCTTCTACTTCCGTTGCTGCTAACGGAATTCACACCCCTGTGCCTGCCAGAAAGGGAGTCGACTCTCGCTCGTCAAGGCAGGGCAAAGCATGCACACTGGCTGCACACTGGCAGTGACAGCTACCATAGCTTCTGTGGAGCAAAGCAGCTCTGCTCCCCTTCTCGAACTCTAGAACAGCCCTGTTCCACCAGCTGGGGAAGAAGCAGCCGAGCTCCAAGGCAGGCGGCAGCAACACCAACCTTGCTTCAAGCCGACGGGGCAGCATTCACTGCTCAGAACAGCCAACTCAGGAAAACAGGGACAGAAATAGGCTACACGGATCTAACTAGTTCATCTCCTTTATCTTCCTAGGGACTTAGAAGAAAATGAAACCAGTAACTAAACGAAGATTTATGGATGACTCCTAAAGCCTTTGCCCCTTTAAAACAAACAACAAAATAGCTTCCTAGCACTCGGGTGTAACATCTCAAGTTTCTACTGTAATACTTCAGTTTTCTCCTTCCTAAACGAAAATAGGTGCCTTAATTCCTTTTACCTAACTTTCCACTTCCAGAAGTAGATCATAGCAACAAAAATCCCAATGTAAAACTGGATTTAAACAATTTAACTGAGCCACAGAGATTCTTCTAATGGTGTCTAGACAGAAGGTCCCGAACAAGACAACAGCACGCTGTTCTTCGGAGAAAACTCCGAATCCTTGTAACTCTTTTCACTGAGATGAGCTTCACACTGAACTTCACACATGAGGAAGACTACCTGCTTTTCAGATGAGAATTTAAATTATATTCATCCTTTTGCATTCAGACAGGTATCTTATAATACATTTCACCATAAACTTCTTAACCTGTGAACAGTATTTCCTTTACACTGACGTGAGACAGACAACAGGATTTATCTACTAAAGGCAATGTCAATAGCTTTTTATGTATTAGAAACAGAAAACTGTTTCCTTGAAACACCAGTTGGGAGTTGCAGAAAACTGACAAGGCTTGCAGAAAGAATTTTGAGAACGTGACCTATATTTATACATGCAAAACCAAGCTCAAGGCAGGACAGTCATGCTGTTTCTACAGGTGTTCAAAGCATTTGCCTTTCCTCGAAACAGCCTGATCACTGTAATCAAGCTAAAGAAAAAAAAAATAGGTGTCATTTTTATTTCAAGACCCTTGCTTCTATTAAATCATGTCATTCTGATGTAGTAGAAATGGAGCTCATTTGGAATATACCCATCTTCCTCCAGATGCAAAATTAAAAAAAAAATAAAATGGGAAAGCACTAAATGTTCCAATAAACACAGCATTTAATGAGTCGTTTTTATGCTATTGAGGGATCAAGTCCCATGGAAATAATTTCACCACGCAGCTGTTTTGACTAAAGATTCATAGACACTTTCTACAGATTTTACTAAGCTTTATAGTGGTTTGTTGGCTTTTTTTAAACACATTTAATACACGAAAACTGGTACTTTATATGCAACTACAGTTTACATGCAACAGAAACTTAAAATACTTGACTGAGCAAAGGCTATGCTCATCTTCACAGGTTGAGACACCTTTCTGCATTTAATAAAGACATAATACAACTGTTCTGTTTGACAAATAACAAAAGGCAAAATTTGGGAGGACTGCATCTTCATGGAAGCTTAAGATTAACAAGAGGAGGCAGGGCTTCTTCTCAGGCCCAAAGCAAGACCCTACAAAAGGAAACAAAGGAAGCAGAGCAGTAGCTGCAAGCTCACCATTTCCTAAACTATGTCACTGTATTCGTTTCAGTAATCTGAAACATACAACCTATAGGCTTGAGAAGAAAAAATATTTAAAGGCAGATACAGACAGCAGAGGCCTAAGGTATCTGTTTTTTTACTCCCTATTTACGCATCTGAAATAAAATAACTAATAAAGCATTAACAAGGTAATGTGCTTTACAGGAGGCTACTCTTGTCTTTTGTTTTTGTTCTGTCAATCATCACCAGAGTATGTACAGCTTTTCAGCTAGGACGAGGGGAAGAACTAATGACCCAGCTGCATGCACACCACAAATTGCTAATTCCTGCTATCTGTGATTTTTCTTTCTGCCAGCAGAATGCAGAGACAATGCAAAATCATTTTATTTTTTATTCACCAGGCAGTTCAGGTCAAATTTATGTTCTCGAATTATTTCTTTTTTAAATTCCTCTCAGCTGACTACAGGCACCCAGTATAATTCATTACCTACTTAACAAAACCACAATCTACATTCCGTTACAATTCACTTGTTAAGTTCCTTTGACAAAGTCACTAGATTAAAAAAAATTTTGAGTACTAACATAAAATTAAAGTTGTGCTCACCTTCTTGACTTTCCAGGCGTATTTTGATATAATCCAGGCAAAACTGTGGAAGAAAACATGATAGTAAGATTTCACATCTTCTCCAAGCCAAAACTGACTTAATACCTTCTGTTAGTAAATATATTTCAATTGATTAAGTACTTAAGTAACAAGAATTTTAAAACAAAAAATGTAAAGTGTATTTTTTAAAAAAACAAAGTGTACATTTTAAACACAACTCAAGGCAGTGCATTCTTTACTATTCTGTGTCTTTCAGTCACACTGACTGTTGAAACTTAAGATCTCTCCTAAGTACACTGTTTTCAAAAAGGTTTCATATACTCTGAAAAATACCACAGCAATAAATTTTGAAAAGAATCTTACACCTCTAGCTATTTATGTTGGTACCTCGACAATTATGGATTTTTATCTGGCTTACTGAATACAACTAATATGCAATGTCCCCTTGAAAGTCTCAACGTAACTTGGGAGGTTAACAAGAAAAAAATATTGTTCTACAGAAGCAAAATTATTCACCTGCAGGCACACTTCTTCCTCCCACCTATCAATAGGTGGGATCAATAAAGTAATCAATAAAATCAAAAAATCAACATCAATTGAAAGGCTGAAGGAGCTGGGTCTCTTTAGCTTGGAGAAGAGGAGGCTGAGGGGTGACCTCATTAATGTTTATAAATACGTCAAGGGGGAGTGTCAGGAGGATGGAGCCAGGCTCTTTGCAGCGATGTCCAGTGACAGGACAAGGGGCAACGGGTACAAGCTGGAACACAGGAGGTTCCACAAAAACATTAGGAAAAACTTTTTCCCTCTGAGGGTGACAGAGCACTGGCACAGGCTGCCCAGGGAGGTTGTGGAGTCTCCTTCTCTGGAGACATTCAAAACCCGCCTGGACGTGTTCCTGTGTGACCTACTGTAGGTGATCCTGCTCTGGCAGGGGGGCTGGACTAGATGATCTTTTGAGGTCCCTTCCAACCCCTGACATTCTGTGATTCTGTAATATCCATTTTTTGGTAACTGTTGCCTTCAACCGTCTTCACAAATGCACACTAATCCATAACTCCCTCCCCAAGCAAGTAAACAAAGAGGTTTCAAGGGTTTGCAAGCCTGATGGTGCTATTAAAACACCTGAAACAGATTGTGTGCACTAGCACGTAATACTACTTGGGCATTCTTCAGGAATCACAGCTCCTGAAATTAGAGACCAACATAGTGACAAAGGCAAAATATTATGTTGTACAAATATGAAAACAACAACCATCAAAAACTGGAAGGAGATCTGGCAAATAACAAGTTTACTTACAATTACAGGTTCCACTACCATTCTTCGTAGTGTTCCTATTCGTATACTTCGACAGTTCAAAATGACGCTTTCACAGGAATTTTGATAATTTTTTAGAGGTACGGCCTCAGTTACCATCTCTTGAGAAATAACTTTACGGCGTTTTATTGGAGTGTTAGACACAATGTTCCCAAACTGAAAAGTAATTTTCAAGGTTTCAGAATGTCTCACTAAGATTTATTGCTAAAATAAGCTTTTTAAAAACGAGCAACTAAGTTTTTGGCTGCTTCTCTGTTGGTCAATGGGATCACTTACTACACAGCATCCACCTCAACCAGATACAGAAGGCAGAAATTTCCTAAGGGAATTTTCTGAAACATCTGAAGATGTTAATATTGCTAGATTCAAGAAAAAAAAAAACATAAGCTCACACATGCAGACATTTTGTTAGCATTTTCAAATCACAAAACAATACTTCTAAAATTGCCAAGACAAATTTAGTTTCTATCGTTTTGAAACTCTGTGAAGCCTGGTAAAACAAGGTTATTCTTAATATATTTTATTTATTTATTTGTTTGCTTGTTTACATAAAACCACTAATATGCTGAAAAAGCACCACAATGTTGGTGTCTTTATTTTTTTTTTATTTCAAAAATTTTAGTCCAAGCTTTTAGTGACTGGAAACACTGAGCAATTCCTGAAGTATAATGCATCACCATATTAGCAGGAATAGAATCTTGAAGAAAAATAAACACGCGAGCCCAATCAAAATTCCTTAAAGCAACTCTACAAAAACCATTAAGATGCTTTTAGAATAGATTTGAGAGTCAGAAGACTTAATACCAAAAGAAGGCCACATAGAGTTTGGCTCCATTCAAGCACATCTCTACTTCCTGGCTGAAACTGTAATCTCAATGAATTCTCCTGTTTACCATCAAGACAATCTCAGAAAAGCTGATAGCCATCAGATCAATATATTTATCTGTGGTATTGCTCATATTGCTCTACTTCGTTGAGGGAATTTCTGTACACTAGCCTCTTTGGTGTTTGTATTCTTTTAGAAAGTTGTTCATTAATAAACATTCTTCTGGGTCACAAAATACAATTAAACTCTCACTGAACAACATTTTAAGGGATTCGTATTTCTATACAGACTACATCTCAAAAATTACTTTAAGGTCGCTAATCACTAACCTATCTTGCTTACAATTCAAAATACACTTTTGGATGCTTCATTTAAATAGAGAAGGCAGAGATTCTAAATCCCTGTAATTAAAACATTTTCTTAGAATTCTTGTTGAAGATAGCTTTTCAATGTTGTCTGCTGGACTAGCTAAGTATTATTAAAAGCTACAAACTCAAAACCCAGACTAACAATAAAATATTAAAGTGGTGCAATGCTCAAGCAGCCTCTTCAGTAAAGAATGAGTATTTTGAGAGAAAAACAAATGAACAAAGCTTCTTAAAAGTTTCTTCTACAACATCCAACAAAAACGCCGAGATACCCACAATTCTTGATAGTATTCTTGAATCATTGCAAAGTTTGTGTTAAATTTCACCCAAAAAAGTGTTCCATTTCCCTTGTTTTCAAACACAAGCTCTTTTCTACTTTTGTCTAAAATACACAGTTTCCAATGTCAAGACTGGTTCTTAAAGACTAGTGAACAGGAACATATGGATATATGAAGGAAAGCATTTGGGAGTTTCAGAAGCCTTAGACACCAGCGCCTTCACCATGCAATGCCTTCAATTAATCCAGCACATAATGCCAAAAAATCCCGAAACTCAAAACTATTTATCATCCAAGCTTCTAGCCCCACAGCTTTATTGTAGTCCAGAGGTTCACAGCTTTATACTGATAGTGGTGCCTAATTATACAGCACATTATAAATAGCCATAATTTCATCAACTACAGCACTAGAATGTTGGCTTCTGAATCTCAGCATAAGCATGAATACTTTGGGGTCATTACTTTAGTATTCTAACTTGGAAGACATAAAGGATTTGAGACTGCAGGTGGAAATCTGATCAGATACTCTTGTTGAACAAAACTCACAAAAGTGAAACTGGTCAAGCGACCCAAGAATGGTCTTAGCTGGCACTATTAATTCAACACCAGTTGCCATGGGGAATTCATTCTTTTTAATGGCTCGCTATTGAGGTGGTTAAGTTTTTAAGATACTCTGAAAGCTTGTCCCCTTTGACAGTACTTAAGGTGTGTGCTCATGGTGCATTTTTCATCTTTGTAAATTTATCCAATTCTTGCAGTGGTATTCAACAAAAAAACTAAAGCCCCACCATGAAATCCTTAAAGTAAGTGCTATTAATTGGGACACTTCTCAAAGTATTTTCATTTTAAAGGATCACTACTGTCCCTAGTGTCACTCTTCCTGTTTAATTTTGATTGTCCGAAGTTTTACCAGGCAACAGCAGGTACTGACTGTGTTCAGCAAACTAAGTAGGCCCCCGAGTTCCACAGAACTCCAGCCTCATGAGCACACATTCAACACAGAAACATCTATGTTAAAAGCGTAATTCAAATCATTATGAACACCTGTAAAGATATAACGAACACATTTTCTTATGTTTCCTGAATTATGTAAGCAGAGGTACTAATCAATGAGCTGCTAAACAAAAAAAGCAATCAAATATAGTCAACTTCTGACAATGCAAAACAAGCCTTTACATTTTCCACTTATGATTTGATTTTTGTTTTCTTTAAACAAAGCATTAAATAGTACCTGATCCTTCATTCTTGCTTTTCTTGGTAGTGTGACTGCAATTTCTGTATCTGTTGTTATACTACCTATTCTCTGTTCTATTCCACAACTGTTTTCCTTTAATGCTGCTTCCACCTTTCCTGTAGAAGGAGCTGGGGAGGAGCGTGCTGAATCTGCAGGACGAGGTGAAATGCTTTCCATTCTCCTAGTGCTGCCACTATCCTCCTCCTCATCATCATCACTAGACAAAACAACTAAACAGAAAATATTAAATTCTCAACCGCTACATTTTTCTGTAACAAAAATTTCTTTTCAAGCAAGAGCTTAAGAGTAATTTATGTAATAGTCCTGCAGTGCCTAAAAAAAAGTCCACATTTATCATTATATTACGCTTTTATTAATGTTTCTTTGGAATTTGCAGGTGCTCTCTCCCTCATTTTTTATTTCTCACAACTAACTATACAAGAAATGGGTATTGTTAATCCACGTCTAGACACAGACGTGAAGCTACACATTTCTTGGTTCAATCAAAAATTTAAAAGTGAATAACACAACATCAGAAAAGCTGATGAGAAATTATGACTGAAATTCTTCAAATCAGTAAGACAATACGATCTAGTAAACTAAGCATGGAACTAGAAACATAATTTCCCAAATTCCAGTTCCTTCCTGCTTATAAATCAAGTGTACTCAGAGAAAGCACAAAAATTAACGTTTTACAAATTACTGAATTTCAGTTAATGTGTACTTTAAAAGGAAAGAGGGGAAAAAACCAAAATAAAAATCAAATATTGTTTTTCCCTTTGGGAGAATGAATTACAGAATTCTGCTAAGAAAGTCTTTTTAAAAAAATTATAAAGCATAAGTATTTTATAAAAAAACCAAAAATATTCATGACATAACTTTTGTTTTCCCCAATGTTCATCTTCTCAGAGAGTACCTCAGTCTATAAAAAAGAAATTACAAAAAGGTCTGTTCCTCTTTCCCATTAACACACCCACAAAAAATTTGATGCAAGATCAGTGTAACATAAATCTGCAAGGACAGTTCCTTCATTATACAATATTTTGGGTTTCCAGTTTATGGCTACGTTCATAAAAAGGTACTTACTTGGATCATTTAGTTCAGATGGTTTTGTACTCCTCTGTCTTAAGGTTCCTGTAATTTTAGGATTTTTTGTCCCAGTTAGAAGACCAGCTTTTCCATTCTGTCGTAACATAGAATGTCCTACAACTTCGTTACTCAGTAGAATATCCATCGGGCCTTTCCCAACAGCAGTACTAAAAAACTTCTTTGTATTGAACCCTGTACCTGAAGATTTTTGCCCTGTTGAATTCTGATGTATTGAAGAACGTGATAAAGGTCCCACAGATTCACTTAATGACACAGTTTGTCTGGAGACTCTTTGCAGATCTTTTAGAGAAGCACTTTCACAATGTCGGCATTTGGTCTGATTTTCATTTGCCCGCCCACAGTTTGGGCAATCAGTAGAATAATCAATTTGTTCCAAAAGCTAGAGAGGAAACACACCAAAAATCAGTAACCATGTAAGTATAAAGATTTCCAAATCTTGCATTTAATTTCTGTTCAGAACAAACACTGTCAACACTGTAATAGCGCTTACAGTAAGCAGAGAAAACAAACATTAAAATACTGCTTGATTTTTTTCATTTAAGAAATGAAAAATGCTCCAACAGGAAAAAATGTCATTCTAAATGTCATTCTAAACAGTGATTAACGTTGCACAACTTAGACTTTCCTTCCTGCCTTTTTTCTTTCCATATGTAAAAGGCTGCACACTGTTAATATACATATATCTCCATCAGCAATAAGGTCCAGTTACATAATTTCTGTAAAAATAGTTTAATTGGATGAAAATAAAGGATCCACAGAGCAATACTAAGGAAGATTAGAAGAAACCTCCTAGGTCACGAGGTTCATTTGTCCTCCCAAGATACCTTCTAACAGCCTGGTAAAGCATGCAGAAAAAAGAAATTCAGGAGGGCAGGGAAGAGGGGAATAAAAAAGAAAAGAAAATATATTGCTCAAGAGACTAGCATCTCAGAAAAGCAACAGAACTTGAAGAAGAGTTCCCCAAATTTTCAAGATCTTACCACTGCAAAGAGAGATGTGGTTTGTTTCTTTCTCATGTACTAGGTCCCACTGAATTATCACAAGCATTTCTGCACTACAGGACTTCTCCTTACAAGCAGCTGGTTATGTCTGTATCTCCTCTGACACAAAACCACAACCAAAGCCTCTGAATTGTTCAAAGATTCCATAAATCTCCAATCGATCATCTATACACTTTGGCAACTCACGGCTCAGGAAAATGTACATAGTTCACAACAAACACATAAATCATTGCGTTAAATCACTGTAATAAAGGATAAAACTCTTAGCCCATATAAAAAAGAAAAATAAAACCAAGAGGTATACTAGTGAACTCAGGTGCAGTAAGATGTGTTCTATATCCAGAAAGTACGTCCACAATCTAGGTAGTCCTACAGGATCACAATTATTCCATGGGATTGGAGTAAAGGTTCAGCTAGTCCTGTGCTGCCCTTTCAACAGGAGCCAGTGGGAGATGGTTGGGAGCAAAGGGAACAGGGTAACAACACAGCCTCCACACATGATTGAATTAATAACTCAGACATTTACCGACTCAATGGTTGAATTTAAATCAATCCATTAAATGACGACACAGCCTAACAAATTTTATCAATCCCTCTTTCGAATCTCTTAATATATCACCTGAAAAATACGGGGGTTTCACCTCTTTTAAGCTTACTGCTTGACAGTTTTACTACAGGGACTCTGAGAAAAAGTAACAGGTTTCCATTCATGACTGTTGGGTGTTCTCAACTTGACATATTTTTAAGATACGCAGGAGAAAAAGTAACAGATGAAATTACTAAATACTGTTTACAGTGCAACCTGTCTGACGGCTTTGGGAATGAAATCACAGTCCTAGAACAACACAATCAAGCCTGCTGCTTTTTTATCGGGGTGACAGAGAACAGCTTGTTTTAGCAATGTGGTCAGCTACACACAAACCCGGCTCAAGGTCACCAAGCTGCTCATGCAGCTCCAGCCCTCGCTTTGCAGGCACATACAGTGCGGGAAGTAGTTCTGGAAGTCAGCGCCACGGCTTTGCAAGAAGGAGGAATACGCTGAAAGCACAGCTCGCTTCTACGTGTACACACAGTCTAGGCAGAGCTAAGAATTACTGCAGATGCTCTACACAGATCACAATCCAGCCACAAATGATGAAGCTGCTCTCCTTCCCCTCATATTAATTCATGTAATTCACAAGGAAGAAATTCTATGTATTAAACGATATTCATTAGCTCTTCAGAGTGATATTTTTTTTTTTATCAAGGCAGTGATGAGACTCCGTTTACTCTTAAATTGTTTTCTTCAATGACCATTTCAATCTAGAAGACTGTTTTCTGCTTTCCTGTCCTATCTGACAGGACATAAGGTGGGCTGCAAGGAATATTTTACTTCTTTAAACAAATAAAATTGTCAAATGTTTAAAACAAAACCCACAGAACTAACATCTTTTGCTTTGTTTTTAACTGCTTTGCTACTTCATTAGTTGCATGTATATCAGACATATAGTTCACATCTACACTGGTATTACATGTACATCAAAAACTCAGCTACTAAAATTTCCAAGTAATATCATATTAATTAACTAAACATGTAATGAAAATGCATGAGTGGTACCAAGTGTTTCATTCTAACAAAGAAATACATTGTGACTGACTTTCTAATCACAGGAGCAAACAGAACCTGATAATATATAATAATCTACTGTTTTTTCATTTTTCTAACCAAGATCACCTTAAAGGAAGTTGTGTTTTGATAGTCATATAGCCTGACCTGTGTTTGAGTACTATGAATCTTCCACCATAACCTGAGAAAATGGTAAGAAATACAGAAAGCCTTACAGAAATTTCCAAAGTATCTTACATCTGATATTCAGAACAGTTCCAAACAAAGCAGCTTTGTTGCTGCATCTAAACCAGATTTCATTTGGATGCCTGTGCTAGTTTCACTAAGAAAGAGAGAAAGATGTACTTGCATCCTTGCAGTACTTCATTCTTATGAGTACAAAAAATCATGACAATAAAAAAAGAAAACAAAACAAAATTCTGTCAAAGAGTAAAATATTGTTCCTCTATTTCACAGGCAGCAAAGCAAAACTTATCAGTTTCTGGTTTATCGATCAGCCAAGCAATTTTAACACAGGTTCTTTGGCTTTCCAGTGCAACAGCAACAAAAAAAAAAAGAATAAAACTTTCTCCCAACTCTAAGGATTTTTAAAACATTAACTTACTTTACAATTAAACGTCTATTTTTAAAATATGCATCAACCTTAAAACATACGTTTACATGGGTTTAAAATTTAACCCACCTTTAATTGAGTTAAGCTTTTTTTTGTAGCAGAAAGAGTCAAGTCAGACTGATATGAATTGCAGTGTCGTTTCTGTTGCACCTTTCTTTTAATTTCAGATTCTGATTCCGATTCTGACTCTTCTGTGTTTTCCATTATACTGTCTAGAAGGGAAAAAATTAAAAAATATTAACAAGAAACATCTACTCATATGCTGTTAAAATTACGATCAACTTACTTCCTCACATACACTAAATTCAAGCATGCATAAACGTCTTTTAAACACTGAACAAACGACACTACTTCAAGTGCCTCATATTTTGTTGTATGAACAAGAAAAAATTTCCAAAGTAACTTCAGAAGTGTTGCTTTATTAGACTATTTCAGTGTCTCTTGGTGACAATTTGTACCTTAATATCTTCGGAGCAGACTCGAAAATCTGTATTAACTGCACTAGAACTCCAATGGAGCGTCCACTGCAACAAGCAGGAGGGGTTCTGCTAGATTATGCTGATGGTAATTTTCACTAAGGGACTGCTGGTGAATGTACTTAGAGTAATTAGGAATGTTGTATGTAATTAGGATTTATTCCTTCAACACAAGACTCAGCAGCACAACGAACTATACTGCCATACCCTGGTTTATACTGGGTATTCATTTAAATACTTGAAAGAGTATAGAAACAAAGAAACTCATAAATTAATGATATACAGAGTGGTATTTTCTTTTAAGAAGTGCAGTATTTTGTACTAGAGCGCCTTAATTCCATTTAATATAAAAGTGCCACTCATACTCTCTAGTTTAATTGCAGTCTCCATATTGGAACTTTCTTAAGTCTGTATTTTTTTCACTAGGTATGAACACATTTTTCAATATACACACCACTCGTCTCACAAACATCCTACTACTAGAAGACATCTCAAAACTGAAGGATTGATTTCCAAAAAAGAAACAATAATAGCTAGGTTTTTTCGAAGTTAAATTCCTTTTGCATAGAGAACTGTTGAAGTTCTACTTAACATTAACCTAAAAGGACACAGCTGAACAGTCAGCCAGTGTAAACAGCTCCGCAGCTGACCAGCAGGTTTACAGACCGTGTCTGTATCCCCACTGCCAAAGCTCAACCACACACAATGACTTTTGTATTCCAATCTCACAATTTCCACACCTCAAAGCAAACTAATTTCTCTCTACTGCACCTCCAGCCACGGTCCTTAATTAGTGATGAAAGAAAGTATTTCAGGTGAGGCACAGAGCAGCACTGCTGCCGGCTCTTCTATTCACCACCTCAGTGCATGAATATATATTTCATACCGAGCATCATTTCCCACGTTACATTTGGCACATACTAACAGTGCTACAGAAGATTCTCATCAATTATTCAAGAACAAGCTGGGGAACTTGGACTTGGACTAGACGATCTCCAGAGATATGCTCCATCACCAACAACTCTATGATTCCACATTTTCCTAATTTTAGTTGGTTTTAAAATAACTGAAGCTTAATTTAAATTAAGCATGACAGAACAGGTTGCAGAGATCTGTCAAATAGGTAAAAATCTTTCCTTCATGCACAAACTTGCATAAATCTAGGATAACATAAGACGAGACATACTAAAGGTTACACAAAATTTGGCAACACACATACCCAAAGTGGGAATTAAAAAAATTATACAGCTTGAAAGAAATGAGAACTCTAAGGATAACTTACCCACTCCTTGAGATCGTGGTAACCTAATGTGGTCTGCTTCTACTTTCTGAAGCTGAGGGGGATATTCTTTTCTGGAAAATGAATTAGATATATGGTTGTTCTTTTGACAGATATCGCTATAATTTAGCCACAATATATGTGAACAAAATAAACCTGAAATGTATCTGAGAGCTATGAATGAGTAACTTCTACCAATACATGCTTTTTGTACACTTAAAACATTACCATAGTGCCAGGAATAGCTACAGTAAAGGTCTTAGAAGTACTTCTGCTCTAAATCCCCTTTGATTGCAATCAATAGTTCAGGAGTTCAGACCTTCAAACTTTCAAAAACTGAAGCCTGCATCTCCTCCTGCTCTTTCATGAAGTACAATATAGATTCTTTCAAAATCCGAAGCCAGAAACAATCACTGTTTTAGTATCAAAGTAGATTCCACAAGTTCCACAACTTAAAAAACAGGAAGAGAAGATGGAAAACAGAGGAAAGAGATCTGATGTCAAAAAATATTGTCGTCAAAAAGAACACTACAGAAGACTCAGCTCCTATGTATTTGTTTTAAATATGTAATAATATAGAAGAATTAATATATAATAAAACTTTTGTTGCTATGATTCACCTAATATACATACCACATCTTTTTGTGAAATCCATACAATATAAAATATTGTAGTAAGTTTTTTTTGGTCTCCTTAGTTTTTGGTTTACTCACAGATGTGTCAAATTATTCTACTATCAAATTAAGATTCCTGAAGTTCACTGCATCTCAGTTACTGTTTGTGGTAGGTCTGCTTCTCAGCTCTCTTACCCTGCTTTGTAGCCGTAGATTATTGTTCCCTTTACAACAGCAGAGGGCACGCACCTGAAACACTGGAGGTCTTGCCAACAACTCCAGCAGAAACTGTTTTTGTTGGCAAGCTAAGCCAGCGCACCAGGCTGCAATGGGCCACCCGCATCCTGTGCCACTACCTCTGACCACAAGGACATTAATCGACACCAAAGAAGGCAAAGAAAACAGCTGCAGGCAGTAACATCTCAGAGCAGCTACTACATTTTGAGGATCCTCCCGACAAAAAATGTGGCTATAACACTTCAGCACTAGCCAAAAGATTTTATTTCTTCCATTTTCCAATGCATGAAATTGTAAAAAACACTGAGACTTCTCCGCATTTCTAGGTAATAATTTCTCAGGGTTTCCCCACAGTTTATTATTAACGAGCATCTTCAGAATAAGATTAAGCTACAAGGTCATTCGGGTGACTTCTAACTCAATCACAAGCACACTGTAGTGTGGTGAGGGGCTGCACCAAGAAGGAAAACTCAGGCAGAAAGAAGGACTGAGAACTAAGCGTGGCTGGTCTGCAACACAGAACAGAGCGACACCACGGTACTTTACCAGAAGTGTCTACAAGGCCAGCACAGAGGACAAGTAGTTTGTTACTGACTGTTAAACGTGTTTCTGAAACAATCCTGCTCTGACCAAAAAACATGGGTTTTTTTATGCCTGTACATACAAAAACTGAACTAGAATCAGAAACTCAACATGAGCATTTGTTCAGAAATTGTTTGATTTTTTTCAAACAGATTTTTTAAAAACTCAAATCAGAAGGGATTACTTGAAAGACAGAACTGGTGAAAATATAAAGCCCAGCTCAAGCTAATCACTATGTAAGGAGAAGCTGTTACTATCAAAACAAATGATAATGCCATTCTAAAGGGTAGCGAAAAAAACCCATAATATCATACAGGAGATTTGAAAAATATAAACTTTGCCATAAGGATGCGTGAGCTGTTGTGGCATGTTATAATTACCTTCCAGCAGTATTCCGTAACTGTAAGTCTTGTTTTGAACTAACCACTGTTAGAAAAACTATTTTCTGTACAATGCTTTAAATATAAAATATTTCATTTATACTTAAGAGAAATAACACTGAAGCTATTTGAAAGTAATGAAAACAATATGGTAGATTTAGAACATTATAATTTAAGAACCACTCTGACAAATTCAATGTGTCTGAACATTTTTCTTCTAAAAATCATACAGGTTTGCATTATGTTTTTAATATGCAACATATTTGTATTTTTTTATAATGATAAATTAACCACTTCCTAGTATTGCTAAATGATTTTGTCTACAATAAAATCAGAATACAGTAGCATTATTTATCCTTGTCTGAATTCTGTGTTATCAGACTCATATTGATATTTATAGACTCATATTGATTATTTCCTAAAAAGCTAAACATTTCCAAGATAACATAAGGGCTGTCATAAAACAAGTATCTTCTCCCATAATATAAGACTTGTACTCATTTATTAACAATGAACCAGTAACACCCAAACCTAAGTTATGTAAAACAGCTCCAAGTCAACTGAGGCTTCCCTGCACCTTTAACTCAGTCAGCAAAACAAGGTCAGGTTTGAAGTTGTTTTGAGTTAGAAACAAAAGTGAAGACAATTTTAAACACTACTTATTGGAGATTTCATCTGCAAAAAATGCTTTCTTGCAGATAGTGAGTCCTCCCAAAAAAGGGCAGCAACTTGAAAGCCTCCTACTAGTTTCCTTCCCTGAAAAATCCACACAGAAGCAAAAAGGCAGAGCCCACCACCACAAAGTTTTTACAGACAACCAAAGGGAACGTGAACATCTGCAGATCCACCAATACCTTCTCCAGTAAAGTACTTGGTAAGCCAAGCGATTCAATTGCGTGTGAGCACAGAAAGAGAATGGAAACCATAGCCGCTATTTTTAAATTGAACACCACACTTATCCTTAAAAGGAATATTTGGAAAAGGAAAAAATTCTTAGATTAAAAAACATACAGCACCTTGCTGTTATATCCTACCTTAAACTCACAGTCTCCCATTTCATGAGGAATGAGGGATCAAACAGCTGAACAGATCAAGATGCAAGACTGTCTACATACTGTGTCCAACACAAAAAAACCCAAGAAATACAATATTCATTGCTATGCCTACTATCCTAGCAAATATTAAAAATACTGAATTTTTTTTGCCTGTTAGGTTTCCTACAAAAATACTGAGATTTAGATTTTGCTTGAAGAACAAGGCTTCATGCTCAGAGATTAACTATAGGCATCTCATTTATCCATTATAAGCAGTTTTGATTTTAATACCTTGCAGTACAAGGGAGGTAGACTAGTATTTGATAAAAGCAACCTCAAGAAGTAGTACAGAAGCAATCAGCAAAACAGATCAGGCTCTTCCTGCAACAGTCATGACAAAAACACCAAGGTGGTCTTGGACTGTGAAGAGTCCTGAACTTTTGATATATCTTAACATCAAAATAGTACAGCATTCTTGACTAAGGATGTTCTGCCCAGACAGAATGGTGTCACTGATTTAGTATTTTCAGCACACATTCAAGGTTACTGCCATATTCCTTTGCCAATGGAATTGGACCGTACTATCTTCACCTTGGCCTGGTAGACAGATTGTGTGTCACTCTCCTGCCGAAGTTAAAGTTTAGTATTAAAATTTCTTCTCTAGAAAAAAAAAAAACAAACAGGGAAAAGGGTGAACATGGAACAGGTATGACAATTTCTATCTGTGTGAGAAAGGAATAAGCCTGAAGAAACATCTGGGAATTTATGCTACAGTGCTGTGATAGAGCAGAGCTCTCAAAACTACCCACGATCTGGTATGAGCCACATCATAAACCACCACGTATGTGGCAGGGCTGCACCAACTCCAAACTCTGGAGGGCTGCGGGCTCACCTGAGAGTTGTGTTTCGGGCACAGCCCGATGAGAGGCTGCTTTTTTAGCCACTCCTCATCTTCTCTCTGTATACTACTATTGGGAGGTATAGCCCTGCAGGCAGACTGTTGGTTCCTACTTTGCTACACAAAAACAGAGTAAAGCATGATAAGACAGGTAGCACTAAGCTGCTGAGGTGAGATTTACCTTCAGTATGTCTTATAGGAAAAGCAGAGCACAAAAAGGCAGGAAGAGAAAAGCAGCAGCAGCACAGGGGGTTGTGTTTTTCGCATGCAGGTCAGTAGCTCCATTTGGCCCAGAAAGTGAGGAGCTGTAGCTGCACTTACAATGGTAATGATTAAAACTAAATTTAGCAGCTCCTACCTAAATCATCTTCCCCTGGTAGGACAGGAACAAAAAGCATGGATAGAAAAAAAGAATATATCCAGCAGTACTGGATTAAGAAGTTGCAGGTGTGTCCCCACGCACAACTCAGCCCTAGTTTTCTATGTCATACATTGCCAAATAAAAAACATTAATAGCTGAATGGTTAACTAATAACATAAATGAAGCATAAAGCAAAATGGGAAAAAAATGCATGAACTCAAAGGTCAGGTGGCAAAAGGATGATCAAAGCCCTTCCTAGAGGGCCAAAACGATCTGGTGAGTGTCTCTGATATTTCTTCTAAGATATACAAAAGTAAGTAAAACAGAAAGGCTTGATTTTATTACTGAATTCAAAATAAATCTAGAAAACCTGAAATTCATAAAAGACAGATCTACACTAGATTTCTGTGATATTTATATCATTATTTGCTAAACATTACCTAGACAGTTTAAACAACCTGTTATCGTATAGACTACCGAAACCCACCTACATAGACAAAATATTTCCAAAAATTCAACAAACTAATTGCTACCAACATTTCCACTAATATAACAAGTGCATGGTTATTTCATATTGTTAAAATATTAATAGCAATAAAACAAATGCAAGGCAAGTGAGAAATGAGCCAGAAATGAGTAATGAAAAACCAGTGTGCCTGGTTTTGCTGTACATTTTCTGTTAATTGCTTCAACATATACGCTTCATGAACACGAGGTACACAGTAATGCAGTAAAAACCTTTAATGCTTTTCAAAGTAAGGTGAGATGACAGTGACAGCTGGTAGACACCCTATTAAGATATTCTTCAGAACCATTTTGTTACACAAAGTGTGCTGCTCTAAGAAAAGAGTTAGTGGTGAATTCTTAAATTCCAGAGAAACTTAAAATTTATCTGTTTTTACACTGATATATAAATAGATAAATTTCCATTAGAAATGTACCCAAACTTCACATTAACATGATATATACTTAGAAATAGATATAAAGTTCTTCTTCTGGTAAAACAGAATAAGCAAACCACAAAACCAATCAATTCCCCTCACATATGAGCAGATATAATTGAATGTTCTTTAACTAGCATTGATAAAGCACTCATTCAGGTGATTTTCTTAATGCTCATGGCCATGCTCATTTCATTAACAGTAAGCTTACCTTTCCTTTCGGTCCAGATTGCTTAAAATATGAAAAAAGAAAAAAAAACATAAGATGCAAGCCCCACATGTGTTGCACAGCACTAAATGTAAAATTTACTAAATTTAAACCATAACTGTTTCATTGTCTCTTGCACTCACAGCATTAGTTTTAAAATGAGCATTATTAGTATCTTTACCTCTCCTGCCTTTTCAAAACCAGCAATATGGAATGCTGTAAGCTTTTCATCTACATGGCTGTTCCTGCCAAACATCAAAAACCTAAAAAAAACTTTTGTCATATGGGCATTATACTAACTTTATTCTAAAACAGAACAAATTCAAACTGTTTCCTGGTTTAGTTCCATCAAATTAAACAGAATAATGGTATTACAGAGTAGTATAAACTCATTCTCCTTTCCTCTGCACAAACACAACACTCACAAGAATAGAGCACGCTCTCTCTGACTCTCTCCTACCCAGAAGAATGGCAGGATTGAAAGAAAACCAGGTAAGAAAGTAATCCTGATAATCCTACAGAGTACAGCAGGAAAACACATTCAATCTCCACAGTGCTCTGGGAAGAGAGTAAAAGGAATTCAAAAACTGAGTGTGACCACTGCTACGTGGACTGGGGTGGGGGTAATCAGCCAACGTTGCATTAAAGCGGGGAAAAACTGCGTCCCTCCGGAGCTGGCCTTTTCGAACGACAAATGCTGGTTTTATGCGTGTCACATCTGAGTTTGTAAATCCAGTCAGATCCAAACCCTGCCTATATGGAGCCATATCCAGTATCCTTGGCACAGTTAATACTTAACTTGATTAACTTTTTACAGGTGCTGTAAAGAGTCACACTATTAAGAATGTTAAATTTTAATGCTAAGGATACTTAAAAGCAGAAAAAAAACCCTTCCAGAATGCCCAATACAGTACACTGTTATTACACTGGATGCCTCATTTGTTTACATATCACAGAAACATTTAGATTGAAAAAGACCTTTAAAATCATTGAGTCCAACCGTAAACCTAGCCTGCCAAGTACACTAAATCCCATGTTAATATAATACATTTAAAAGAATTCTCATTTTTACATTTCAGAAAGAATAAGAAATGAGAGTCCTGTGGACAGATCCAGGAAGTATAACAAGCGATGTCCCTACAAATTGCTTCGTGCAGCTCACGCACAGGATTTGTTAGACATGCTGTACATAGGTGCTATTGCAGTGCCAAGTCTTAGAGAACAGTCAATAGTCTAAAATAGAACTGTGCGTCCGTTAAATGAAGCAAGATAGTCTGAACTAACAACATTAGGCTAAGGTGTATCTGAAAATCTGTTGTATCAGAAGTGGAAAAAAAATAATTCCAATTTCACCTCCAGATGTCACTGGTAAAAGCATGGATTATATTTATTGAAATATTATTTTGAAATGCCCGATTTTGTTATATTGGAAACTTTCATTTTAAATGAGTGAAACAGATAATCAGCCAGAATTTAAATGAACATACATGTGCAAAAAACATTGCAGAAAATGATGAGAAATACAGTACACATCACAAGCTCCAAATTCAACTTGATAGAGATTACAAACTGAGTTTCATAATTAGCTTGGCCCATGTGACACCTTCCCCACTCGAAGAACCTCATATAAATAACAGGATCTGGCACCTCAGTGCCAGAGACTCAATCTGCTCAGAACTAATTTAAACATGTTTTTCTTTTTGGTTATCCTTTCACTAATTCACTATAGATTTAAAAACAGTATGTTAGGTTAATTAAAACTGTCTTCCCCATGTTGTAGTTCCCAATCATTGGCCCATAAAACAATTCTACATTTGCAAACAATGGAAAAGAACTTTTTCCTTTTTTTTTTGCCTGGAAATTAGTACAGGAAACAAAGCCAAACACTTTAGAACTCAATTTCCATGCTACTAAGCTTTTCTTGATATATACCTGGAATTTTATTCTTGGTTTGCCTCTCATATTCTGCATATAGTCCTTTCTGAAGAGACACCATGAGAATCTTAAACTCAACTATTGCCTAACGTCAGTAAAAACTAACAAAAAAAGATTTAAAAAATCCCAAACAACTAAAAACATGTAACAAAAAATTTACCTGCTTTATACGATGGGAATTTTGTATTAGGAACAGTTTTACAGTCCTACTTTGTGTTGAGTATTTTTCTAACTATTGTCTTCTCATCCATAGACTTACATGTTCAATATCAAGAAGTCTTGAGGTCCCCCTTCTTTTAAAATAATCTTTAGTTATAGTTATTATTAATAATTATTAA